TGAGAAACTAGCTTCAGCATATTCACTGATGAATCATGTTCATCTGGAAGACACTTAGATGGATTTGATACAGGGTAGCATTATTCAAAGATAATGATTCTTTCTGATTTTCATTCACCAACCAAATTGCAAAGTCGAGTTTCTTTAACAATGTATATTAGTCTCTTAATTTTCTAATTTATGTGTACTGAATTATAAACATGCACAAATGTATTATTCATCCCCATAAATTCAAAGCTGAGCCACACCTTTATTTGCTAAATGTTTTGACAGCTCCTTAAAGACCGGAAAACAGTACTTCTTGTAGAAATGTGTTGTGGTGAATTCTCACAACCTGTTGGGAGAAGATCCATTTGAACAATAATCTTTTCTCTCTGTGCTTTTCTTAAGCTTTAGAAATCTTAAAACAAAACAAAATACTGTGACCATAAAGATAGAAAAAAAACAAATGAAGTGAAGGAATTAGTCAAATATGCTAAGGAAGAACTGTAACATTGAAATGAATAGCTATATGTAAAAGGTGCTAAAATTGGAGTTGAATGAATGAACAATTGTATTGCTTGCAAATTGAAGAACGTCTTCCTTTCTGTACTTCTGTCCCCATTTCTCTCTCTGTCTCTTATCTGTCGCATAAAAATAATGCATCTCTCATAGCATTGCGTACTGGAAGCCAAATAAGGTCTCCAAGTGAAATTGAATTAGAGGGTAATTATAATTTGACTCAGAAGTAGAATTAAATGAAATTCAGTTCCAGTTTTACAAATTTGAGATTATTTGCTCATTTTGGCATTGGGGCATTTTGACAATAGGGCAATATCAATCCCACCCGAGTGGGGTGTTGTCAGTTAAAATGCCCTGTGTCTGCTGATTTACGATCATTTTTGTTAACAAGCCCAATTTTAGCATGTTTGATTGATTCCAGAACCATCCTCCCTCCTCCCTGTTAAGCTGAATCATTGTTTATCATAAAATATCAAAACCCAGTGTCATTTGAGAACATATGCATTGTGGTATAAGCTGAAGAGCTGAAAGCAAATGAAACTGAGGCGCCACAGTGTCACCACTGGCAAAAGAATGTAACTACTGTGTATGATGTTTACTTTTATAATAAGCATTTGCAATATTTTATCTTTCATTTGATGATGCAGCCACACCCTGTTTTGATAGAACAGGAAAGAATAATTTCCTTACTGAGTAGTTTTTAAAAACCTACCTATTTCTTCATTTTCAGTACTGCCTGTCACTGTATAATATAATTGGAAACTGGTTGCAAAAGCTTCCTTTTTATTATAGCTTAGTTGACTTCCCAGTGATTCAAAGAAAGAACAGTTTTCTCCTCTTCTCCTGAATTTTTGGCTAGGGTTTTAGTCGTCCACCTAAATCCAGCTCCTCAGGAAATAGTCCAGTTATGCAACAAGTGTCTATACAAAGAAGAAAATTAGCTCAGCCAACCTGGATATTCTAAGGGATGAAACAAGTAACATAAAGAAATTGGTATTACAAAAATGTGCCGACTATATAACATAAAATCATATGTAAGAAATAAGGACACAGTAGGACATTCAGCTCCTTAAACCTGTTTTACTATTTAAGAAAATCGTGGCTGGTCTATTTGTGTCCTTCATTTCACATTATTTCCTTTCCCACCCCCGAATAACTCTTGACTCTTTTGGCAATCAAAACTCTGTCTAACTCATGTCTAAACATATTCAATACTTCAGCTTCCACTGTTCTCTACAGAAGAGAATTCCGACCATGAATGACACTCTGAGAGAAGAACTTCTGCCTCATCTCTGTCTTGACTGGAATCTTGGGGATATATTTGCAGCTTTAATTTAGAACAATCAGGGAAACAAAAGCCCATCTCTTTGGTTCTTCATGTGGATGTAGGAGATATGTTTAAGTTGCATTTCATTTATTTCTTGTTTGTTACGTATTAGGGCCAAAAATCTTGGAAATGCACTGACTTATGTTACATGTATTCAAATGAGAAAACCCATGTTTGGTTTGCAAATACATATCTCTCGATGAAATCAAATTGGAGTATTCTGAAAGTTCCAATTTAAAATGGACATAGAAACTTATAATGGAACAAAATTTGTTGAAAAATATAACTAAAGTGTACCAAGAGGAAGTGAGTTTTTTTAGACAAATTCCACTGGGCAGTTGCAGGGGGGATTATTGCTAGTCAATGACCTTATTATTTGAATGTCTCACCTCAGTAATATTTATCTTCCTATTGTACCACCACCACAAGCAAACTAGGCACCAAGAATTCTCAACACGGAAGTCAGAGTGGGTACCTGACAGCTTTCATTGGGTACCAGCTTATTGCTGGCTGGAAGAGCTCCCAACTCTATGAGCCTAGTGCAGGAATGTGGATCTAGAGTAGATCGTAGTGTATTTTTAGTGGCACAGACTTGCTGAGCCGTAAGACCTTTCCTGAACTCTATAATTCTGTGATTTTTGATTCACATTGGCCACCATGCAACAGTACCTCAGGGCCCAATCCATGTCATCAACTATGCATAAAGTTTATCCACCGACATTGGATAAATCTCAAGATCCTCGTGGGACCTCTCCAATTCACTTGTAAGAAGCTTAGGAAGGATAGTGCTTCAGTTCAGGCCACTAGTATTGAAAAGTTGCAACAAAGAAATTTTGCACACAATAGGCACGCAGCTCTCAGGTTGGACCAGGCTGTGTTTCAAGGAGACTGGCTAGCTCTCAAAGTGCTCACTCACTTTGCACTCACAGCATGCCTGCCTGGCCTTGCCCATTAGTGCAGTCACATGACCGCACAGCCTTTAGGTCATCAGTCCTCAGTCAAGAGGGCATTCATCTTGCTGTATGACAGTGTGCTATGTCAATCTCACACCTGCACCACATGCCAGCAGCTTGTATAACAACCATACTGTTTGTGCAGCAAACAAGCAAGCCATGGTTCAACATCTTAGTGGAGGGGTCCCAACTGAAATCTATTAGAGGCACCTGTTAGGCAGGGGTACCTAGCACAGTAAGTCAAGGACATCTGTAATTCCAGTGCAGGGGATTGGCCGCGGCCAGGTATCTGGTCGGAGTGTTCTTGGTCATAGGGTCCAAGCCTCTGTAGTCCTAGGAATGGATTATGGTAAATATGAGTTACAGTACATCTGCAGGCTCCATTGTGTCCAGACTGGATGGGGTGGGGAGGTGTTTGAAATAACTCCACAGAGGCTGGTATTCCGTCACCAAGTCACCCTTTATTTACATGTGGAGAGTCCTTGACACTGATCCAGCTCCTTCAGAGCCAACTCTCAGAGTGAACAGAGCCTCTGACACAAAAACAGAAGTTGCTGGAAAAGTTTGGCAGGTCTGGCTGCATCTGTGAAGAAAAAATCAGAGTTAACGTTCGGGTCCGGTGACCCTTCCTCAGAACGTCCTTAGGAAGGGTCACCGCATCCGAAACATGAACTCTGAGTTTTTCTTCACAAATGCTGCCAGACCTGTTGAGCTTTTCCAGCAGCTTCTGTTTTAGCTCCTGATTTACAGCATCCGCATTTCTTTCAGTTTTTATTTAGAGCTTCTGACACTCTTGTTTATATCTATCAACCAGGGCTCCCTGATTGGGGTCATTAATCTGGTCCATATTCTATGAAGTCGACCTGGTTGACCTTGTTGCAATCACTGCATTCCTCCTACTCGAAGTCCAAGACCTAGGCTGGCTTTTTTTTATTGTAGCTCCTCCTGGGGCGTTTTACCACCACGTCAGGTTCCTCCAACTCTGCTTTGGATATGAGCAGCATGTAACACACAGTAGCTCGCCTCCTGCACCTGAAGCGTTTCAGAAGAAATTCATTCCCCTCTTCAGGTGGCAAAGGCATCAAGGCACTGACATTGGCTGTGTCAGCCTCAGGTTCTGAGGTATCTTCAACATTTGTTGGAGATTGAAAACCCGCACATTCCAGAACAGTCGGGAAGGCAGTCAAGGAGTCAGGAGTTTTGCTCCTGCACCATTTGCACGTTTGCAGCTTTCATATGGTCCACACGCTTATTCAGGACAGCCACACCTACCTGAACTTTTTAACGTCACAGACCTGACCTCGCATCGACCATGCCTCTTACCCATGCAGGGCCATTCCCATGGTTCCTCACTAAACTTCATTCCTTGAAGTCAACTCCACTTAGCAGAGCCTTGTGTCTAGTATTGGTATTCCCGGTGTCATTTGACCCTCTTCCTTCACTCTCAGTTTTGAGTTTGTAAAAAGGGAATGTCTTTACAAGAGGGTTTGAAAGACATGAAACATCAGTTTCCTGAATTTTTTAAAGTCTGTCCAGTGTTAGTATACAGCTCATGAATTCGAAATCTGGACAAATGTGTTTGGAGGGTATTTAGGGAGTTCAGGTGTATGGGGGATTACAGTGTGTATGGATGGGTCATGGGAGTATGGTGGGGTCATGGGTGTATTGACGGTATATGGAAAGGTGATGGATACATGGAGGGAGCATGAGATATGGGTGGGAGTATGGCTGTGCAGCCTAGTGACCATGCTGATAACTGGATTGATGTCCCAGTGAATGGAGACATTCCTTCACAAGAGTATGCCTGGGCATTTGCTCCCCTCTATTGCTGCCTAATGCCTGCTTGGGGAGGCAGTGGGCCAGTTCAGTCAGTTTCTAGCCTGTCCCCATCACTTCTGGATAAAAATATGATGAATTGGCGAGCACAGTTTCTCAGAAGCGGGATCTCAGGGCAAATAATCACCTTCTGGTTCTTGCCTTGAAAAGGAAGATCTGACCTTAGACATTTAATATGTTAGAGATGCTACCTAAGCAACCCTTTTATTATCAAGATTTTAACTTTGAAGAATGTTAATTGCATTCACATTCATTGTCCTGCAATTTTTTCTGTGGCATTAATAAATTTGCTCATGCTTGTAAGAAATATCAGATTTTTTTATAAAAATGAACCATAAAGTTCTACATCTATTTGCCAATAATGTTCTTTCTTTTCTTTGAAGATTTCACTGCTGATATTGGAGAAAGTTTGGACAAAACTAAAAATGGGACACAAGTTCCAAGTCATCATTTTTATTTGCTGCTTGTGCCTGATTGATCACACAACAGGTAAATTCATAATAGCCACATAATCTGCTCAAGGAGTATTGAGGATTCTTTTCAATATTTAAGAGTTGACAAAATTGTAGTGTGTTTGATGATTTCTGCAGTAATATGAGGTATTCCAGTTTCAGATCTGACAGTCTCATCACATGGCTTATCATCAGGACAATTTAGAAATGCAGAGATAGTAGGAACTGCAGATGCTGGAGAGTCTGAGATAACACGGTGTAGAGCTGGATGAACACAGCAGGCCAAGCAGCATCAGAGGAGCAGGAAGGCTGAAGGATTTTCTGAAGAAGGGTCTAGGCCCGAAACGTCAGCTGTGTTCATCCAGCTCTACACTGTGTTATCTTAGTTTAGAAATGCAAACTGAATTAAGCAAATTCTGAAATTAAAAGTTAGTATCCCCAATCGTGACCTCAAAATCTTTGTGTGCCATAAAGCCTATTTAGCTTATTCATGTTCTTCAGGAAAGGATATTTACCATTATACCCATTCAGATGTGAAACCAGATGTAAAGAAATGTGGTTGACTCACTATTGCAGCCTAAAATGGCCGAGCAAGAACTCAGGTGCATTCAAGAAGAGGATTTCCTGATGGCAACTTGAAGTCTTTTAAAAGTACTTACATTCCAACAATAATTTGCTAAAAACTGACTACTGTACATCAATAAAGCCAGCAAATGGTTTCATAAGTCTTAAAAAGTAATGTTTGATTATGCAAAATTTGTTTTTCCATTTGTTGAAGGCTAGAAGCTGACTAAAGTGCTTGTTTTTGTGATTAAACCCATTTTCAGCTATCTTAATTAAACTTCATAAAATTAACATTTTTAGTTATGACAAGGATTTTGTGTAAATGCAAAAGTAGAACAAATTATGTTTTAAACCAATTTACCCTAGATCATGGAAGGGGCTATGTTTCTCAGTACACAAATATATTTGTCGTAAATTTGAATAAACTTGAAATGATTTGATCTTTAGCAATTTGGATAAATTGTCCTGACAAAACCAATGCTAATTAATAAAAAATTACCCTTTTGTTTCTTTCGTTCTTGTTGAGCTCTAAGCATTCCACACAGAATAATGGTAACATTAACAAAAAGCCTGAAAATGATCCCATTTCTATGCTCTGATATCTCTCAAGCCATATTAGTTCTAGAAAATGGAAACAGGATCTGGGTTCAGTTCTATGTCTGTGAATATTCACCTGACAATTATATTAGAAGCATTGCAGAACAAATTCACTCAACTCAGGTGATGAGGTTATCATATGAGGAAAATTTGATGTGGTGGGTGTATAAACTTTGAAGCTTAGAGGAACAAAAAAGGATTTTATTGGAAAATGTAAGATTCCGATGCTACTTCACAGGTGAATTCTGAAAGAATGTTTCTCTTTGTAAAAGAAACCAGGATGTCCCATTTAACATAGAGATGAGGAATTTTTTCAAGAGTTGTGAGCATACGCAACTCTCTTTCCCAAAAAGTGGTGGAGGCAGGACCATTGAATATTTTTTAACGAAAGATAGATAGATTCTTGACCACCAAGGGAGTCAAAGAGTATGATAGGTAGACAGGAAAGTAGATTGAGGCCATTGTTAGATCAGGCATGATCTTATTGAATGGTGGAGCAGACTCGAAGGTTTTAATTACCTATTATTGGTCTTAATTTGAATGTTCAAATGTATGTATGCACACATCAGCAAACTGACTTAGGTTCTTGCTTCATCCTCCTGACTACAATCCAGCAACTCCTACTGAAAGTGTGTCAATGTCAGCGTTTTGTGAGACTGGAATCCAAATTGATTTTGATTTCTTTGTCAGTCTTACAGTATCATGCAACATTATATGTTTAAGCTTACAATTTGGAAAAGAATGGGAGAACAATTAGGATGCATGCAACCAGGTCCAGTGAAGACTCAACATCTTGAATAGAGAAGGGAAGGGTTGAAAATCAGCATTAAAAAAGGCCAAAAAAATGTGTTTGTAAACAGCTTTCAACAAGTTGGCGAATGTGCAGACATAACTGGAGTTGCTCAGTTAGATTTGTAATACATCACTGGAAAGAATCACTGGCACATTGATAAATTAAATTAATCCAGAAACATCTTGAGCCAGATGGCGATAAGAGTGCAAAATATCAAGGATGAACAGATGTAAATGTAAAGTGTATCCTTGTGGTTTCTCCAATTGGCCATAATAGCTTTAATGGAAACTCCACTGGGGTTTTCTGCCAATCTCCCATTTAGTTTATGGCAGCTGATCAGAATGAAACATTCTTAAGCAATTTCTGGCCAAAGTGCTAAATTTTAAAGCTGATTTATACTTGCATTTTTAGACTATATTTTCCAGAATATGACAGGTTGATACTGCAGTAGACTAACATTATAACATGAGCCTCAAATTTTAAAAATGGCTCAGCAGAAGAAGCTGAATTTACTTTGGTGCTGATGGCAATCTGTGTTCAGAGTATATTTATTCTGAAATAAATTTTGCACCAGTTTTAAAGATAAGAGCTCTGGGTACTTTTCTTTCATTTTTTACTGTGCTCAGAGTATATTTGTTTTGATTATGGTAGATGTTATCATCAACAGTTGATTTCTGCAGCCCAAGTGTAGCTGACTGGAATGATATACAAACTTCTACCCAGTCCTCAAACTGTACGTTATCATCTATCAAACTGCCACAGGATTTAAAGGGTACTCCATTTGTTACTTAACCTCTAGATGGGGAGATTAAAGAATCTCTGAACCTTTTCAACATGAAACTCAGTTGGCATTTTTTCATGTGTTCATATGTTATCAATGCATCAACAGTAGATAAATAGTATTAACATTATTTACAGATTTATTAACATTTGCTTTTTCTTTGACATTCAAAGGGATGCGTGGAGGAAATGGTAAAGATTCAAAACAGGTAAAAACAATACATGATAAATTTTACACAATGAATAGAAAATTATATTAGAAACAGTACAGGCAGAAATAATTTTGATCACCACAGTGTCCATTTTGTTAAGTCCCTCAAGGAAGTATCTCCTTTTCATTGGTACCAAAGCCTGGTTGGATCACTCAATAAAATGATATACTTGACGATGATCAATCCTGAACTTTGCATTTATGGTCAATTAGCATTAAGAATGAAGGAGCCCAGAATCAATGTAGCTCAGTGAATGCTGGCCAGAATGGACCCTCTTAAAAAAGCGAGGCTGGATAGGTTCATGTTGTTTTCTTTAGAGCTGAGAAGACCTAGTGGCGATCTGATTGAAGTGTGTAAGATTTATGAGGGACAGGAACATGGTGGATAGGAAGCAACTGTTCCACTTAGTAGCTGGACCAATAACAAGAAGGCAGGTGGTTTCGAGGAGGTTTGAGGAAATTATTTTTACACAAAAGGTGGTGGGGAATGTGGATTATACTGCCTTGGAGGGTAGTAGAGGGAAACCTCACATCCTTTTAAAAAGTATGTCGATGAGCACTTGAAATATTACAACATTCGAGGCTTATGGGCCATAAAGTAGAACTAGTGTAAATAGGTTGGTACAGAATCAATGAACCTAAGGGTCTCTTCTGTGTTGTATGACTCAATGTGTGAAAGCGTCTTTTCCTAGAGGGAACCAAATGCTCATGAATGCTCATTGGATCCTCTCTCCCCTTCTCTAATTAAGTCTTTATTTTTGTTTTCTGTTTCCCCTGAAGATACTGTTTACACCTATTTGCATCATCAGGTAGAACATTATGATTGGTCATTCTTCATATTTAAACTTGAACAGCATCCAGAGATGATTCTTAAGACTAAAATCAATTCTGGTTGTCAGATATCAACAGATATAAAAGTCGCAGCTCATATAACTGACATAGGAATAGGGATTTTCTGACTGATATTTCCTTACTCTTAACCTTCAAGCCAGTCACCATGCTGACTTGGATATATATCAGTGTTTCTTCAAGGTCACTGGGTCAAAATCCTGGAATTCTCTCCCTAATGACATTGTAGGTGCACCAATAGCGCATGGACTGGCAACGGTTCAAAAATGGAGCTCCTCATCACCTTCTTGAGGGTAGCTATGGATAGGCAGTAAATACTGGCCCAGCCAGCAATGCCCACTTCCCATGAATGAATAAAATATTAACGGGGTCATTGTAAACTGCTGTAGCATCACAATTGCTGCCTTGACTAAGATCAGCATAGAACAGGGATCAATCCAGAAGCCAACATCCTCTTTACATCTTAGTCATGCTGTTAACGGTGTCTTCATCCTTAATTTATCCAGAGACCTTTAAAATCAATCAAATATTTGATAGTATTAGACATTTACATTGCAACTTCTACAAAGAAAAATGTCCCATTATACTCTGCAGAGGAATAGTTCAGAAAATTAACACCGAATTGAAGATAGATTTTCAAAGAGACATAGGTTAATAGAGGAGCTGGAGATGCTGAAAATGGAGGGATGAACTTTAGGAAATTCTAGAGTGAATGGCCAAAATGGTTGAAGGCAATGATGAGATAATGGTCAGGAGGTTGCATAAAAGATCAGAGTAAGTTAGGAAGGGGTTTGTTGTGCAGGAGGAATTGCACACTTGTTATGGATGAGGGTTTTGGCTGGCTGACTGGGAAGCCAGTGAATGACTGTGTTGCCTCTCCTCGGGGGCACCCGCAAACTATGTGCCAATCAGGCACTTGTGGGACCACTGGTGAGTCCTGGCCTGGAATAATTAATCTGGAAAGTGGAAGCCCTGCCAAGTGTGAGCTGCCAGTCAGAGAGCTGTGGTGCCCACCGTTACCACTGAGGAGACCATGACCGCTGGCAGAAAACTAAAAGCCCAGGATCATAGAAGAGCTGGTCACTGAGAAGTAATGTGGATGTTGGTGGGCTTTTTGGAGTGGTGGTTCTAGGGAGAGGAAGCAGGGTGGTTAGAAAAATGGGCAGGGGACTCTCAATGGACCACACTACCTGCAAACTTCAAACTTGTCAAGCCCCTCAACCAGGTAGATTAATTCCCTTGTTTAAGTGACCTCTTATCCACTCTTGGGGTTACAAGCTGACATATGACACAGACTGGATGGTGACAGGCCCACATGCAGCTACTGGAGGAATCAGGCAATTTAGTGGTCTTTACTTGGCTTGGATGAATGGATACCACACAACAATCACCAGACGGGAATGCTCCCCGCCAACCGGGAACACTTCAGCGGTCAAGGATGTTTAGCCTCCAATCTTCGGGTAAGCATCCTCCAAGGTGGCCTTTGAGACACACAACAACACACAATCACCGAACAGAAACTGACAGCCAAGTTCCATACACGTGAAGACGGCCTCAAGGGTGATCTTGGGTTCATGTCGTGCTACATGTGACCCCACCCCACTGCTCCATATTAGTAAAATCTTCCAAATTGTCCTGTTTTGGCACCATCACTTTGATAAATTGTTAGAATCTCTCTACCTTAATTAGATTGTACAGTTGTACTTATTATTTTGGTTATACCCTTGACATGTGACTCTTATACATATCATGGTATTCCAGTTATTTGGTTTGTCTCCAGCACCACTTTATTCTTAATGTTTTGTAATTATCTCTCTGCCTCATTTGATCAGATTATAGGTCATGCCTTCGCTTGTTATTCAGCTGTTGATACCTTACTCACACTGTTTGACACTTTTGATCACCTGCAGAGACTTATTATTCGACATTCCACTCACACCATTTGTAAGATCTTTTGATCTCTCTGCCCTTAATCTCTCTGCCTATAAATTCTGTGTCTGTGTGCTACTCTCTTACTTCACCTCATGAACCAGCTATGCTCTAAAAGCTTATGGCTTCAAGTAAACCTGTTGGACTATAGCCTGGTGTCATCTTATTTCTGACCTTGTCCACCCCAGTCCAACACTGGCACCTCCATATAATGCTAATGAGTGAGGGATGGAAAATGGGTCAGAGATCACTGAAGTGGTCAAGCCTGATTGTAACAAAGATATGAATGAGGGTTTCAGCAACAGTAGACTTTGTTTGGGAAGGATGTGGGTGATGTTACTGATTTTGGAGTAAATAGGCTTGTGATGTAGAGTACATGAGAGCTGGAGCTCTTGCATGCATTGAGAGAATGCTAAGATCATGAATAATGTAGTTCTACTTGAGGTAATGGCCGATTTGGAGATGGATGAATAGAAATATGAAATTTGTAGAAAGGGACTTTTTTGGTGTGCTGCAAATCAATGCAAAGGCAGGCTTAATGAGACAGAGTCTTCAGGCAGGACTGAAGGTTATACATTTGAGCTTCCCAATCTTCAGTTGTCTTTCTGCAAGATGCTTCAGAGTGAAAATGTTTCTTTTTAATATATAACCCTTTAAAAAGTTTGACTGGTCTTGAACCTGTAAAATAAAAGGCACAAATGCGGTTTACATTACAAATAAAGGCCATGGTCCATACTTTAATTCTTAATGGCATCTGGACCTGCATATGATTTATTTGCAGTCTTACATTTTTTTTATCTGTCTGTTTTGATCATCATGTAGTGATTACAATGTTGCAACGGTAAATGCTTGTTTGGTAATTATAGTCTTTATAAAGTCAGGAAAACTCTAGCATGTTTAATAAGATAATAATAGCTATCCACAAACCTGTTGATGATTTGAATTATGTAAGCGGAAACGTTGTGTATAAACAATGTACAGCTCTATAACTAACTTGATAGCAAGTACATTTTAATGAAAAAAAATTCAGAAATAATCTTGGAAAGTTGTAGTACTCAGGCTAGATTTTTATTAGATTTTATTGTTTTGCACTTCAGTGACTTATTTCTCCAGAAAAGTGAATGATCGTCATGTTTTATTTAGAAGGATACAATTAAATCTTCAAATGCCAGTTCCCCGATAACTGAGTTGGTAAAAAGCTTCCACTACTGAGTACAAGGCTAGGAGGAAAGATGTCTTTCCCATGAACTGCAAATAAATTTGAAACATCTTCATTATAAATGAATTTTTGACTTAACTAGCGCTTTGAGAAAATAAATCCTCTCAAGAAGTTCAGTACCACGTCTGTGCCAAGTTTGTTACATCGGATAGGAGATAATCAGCCAGATTTCTAATTCTAATCATTCCCCAGTAATAGAAGGAGTGGTTTAAGATCAGTTGCAGCGCTCAAATATCCTGCTGATGGTCAGTGTCTCACACATAAAGAGCAGTTGGTTGTCCGGCAGAGGACTGCCGGCATGCATGGCCAAGTAAACTAGCATGAAAAAGCCCCGCCTTTCACTCTGGGTGTTTGTGATGCTTACAAATTCTCCCACTCACCTGTTTGTAGGCTTGTCAGAGAACCTGAACAAACAGCAGAAAGGCCTTGTTATTAACAGTTGAGTGTAATCAGAACTCAAACTGTACATTGTTCTGCGGCACAATATTGTGGTACAAATGCCTATTATAACCACCTAGACCAAGGGTCACACTGAATACTGGATAGGCTATGTTATTATACTGCCCTTGCCTTTCTACATATATTTCAGAAGCTTGTCCCAAGGTTATTGAATGCTTTAAAACTTTTGATTTTGTAGGGCGCAGGAAGATGTCAAGGATGGGAGATCAATCTAAGGAACAACCTCACTGACCCAGGAAATATCTCAGATTACATTAACGACTTTTATGAGAATATCAGCGATCTGAGCCCAGGCTGTGTCCGAACATTCAGCCTCAATGTCACTCATTCTAATTTGGTGGAACTGTAAGTGTAGCTGGTCACTCTGTCTTGACATACTTTTCATGCACTACCGTTGATAAAATAAAATTCAGTATCGTATTATTTTCTGAACCAGATCTTTAAAATAATATTTGGATGAACTCTTGATATTCAAGTAATATTCATCATTTTCAAGGCTGTGGACCTAGTGCAGGAAAGTGGGACTAGTATGCATTGTGGTTTAGTTTTGGCAGTACAGACTCGATGGCTGAAGGGCCTGTTGCGTCTTATGTGATTCAATGATAAATGATGGACCCTCTGAAACTACTGATTAGAATATAGCTAAAACTCTCTATATTCATTTCATAATAATACTGCTTCCTTTCTTGACTGGGTTTTGCTAACAGAGCACATTTAGAATTTACACTATAATTTTCAGTTTGGGTAAGGGCGAAAGACTAGCAATATCTATTCACATTCTGTGGTTTAACCTCTGAGCAGCTTCTGTTTATGTTTATGATTGTTCAAATCCTCTGGGTAAGGAAGCATTATTTTCCTCACTTCAATTGTCACAAAATAAACAATATTATTCATATCATTAGCTGACTATATAATTTGAGAATGTATTTTCATATTTTGTCTTACTTATTATTTAACACACTGTTTCATTTGTTTTCCTTTTATTGGCAATTTTCATTGCAGGATGAATCTTTTAAATACCAAATATGATAACCTGAATCCAGGTACCAGGAAGCAGATTTATAAATGGGTTGAAGGTACTTACGCAAAAACACCAGAATCTAGAATGAAAACCATGGGTCACATACAAAATGAGAGAAAATCAAAAAATCAGGATGAAAAACCAGAAAAAGGTAACCAATCTGGAATTGTGCATGTTCTTATATTAAACCTGCAAAATGTCTTTCTGCGTAACTTCCCTTTCTCACTGATGACCCTATTGCTTTTGTTGCTTGATCATCTCTCATCAACCTTTTGTGTGCCTCAGTCCAGATTATTCTGTTGAATTTATAATCAGCTTACACCTTGAGATTTTATCCTTCTTTGAGCATCCTCCCTTGTTTGGTCCCTCTCACATTTCTTTCAAAACCATCATTTTTTAGCTCCTTCCCAAGTACAATAAAGAATTTCTTACTGAAGTATTTTCAATGCTTTCCTCCTTCACCCTTCGCATCAAACCACTCTTCTTCCTCTGATATCAAATTCCATCCCAGCTCATAATTCTCCCTTTCTCCTGCATTCACTGCCCTCTACCCTCCCTATTTCTCTCCTTCAAAATAAACTCCCTGACCAATATTAATGGCCACCCACTTGTCCTTAAACCTTATGCGATCCTGTTGTTGCAATCGTTTGTAAGATTTTAGAATTAGCTTTAACTTTAGTTGTAAGACCCAAGTCAATTTGTTAAGTTTATCAAAACCAATACAAGTGAAACAATTCTTAATAAAGTTAATGATTTTCAGTTGATCCTCTTCAGGGCATCAGCCTGCAACATTGGTTGTTAGCCAATAACAGTCTCCACTAACAGCTGTTCACCCTCCTTGCCAGGTAGTTATCCATTCCTTTATCCATCCAACTGTTCTTCTCTCTCTTTGGGCTCTATCCCCACTTATCGTTTACTCTTGAACCCCTCCTCCCACCCTATCTTGTGCATAAAACTGACATTTTCCTAGCTACCATCCGAAACATTAACTCTGATTTCTCTTCACAGCGGCTGCCAGACCTGCTGAGCTTTTCCAACAATTTCTGTTTTTCAGCCTGTAAAACCGGTAGACTAGGCCCATGTCTTTCATTTGCTTCTCATGACTGAAGTTCCCCTCCATCTTTGGTCTTCTTTTCGGCGTGCCAAACCACTAAAAATCAGCACTTGCTAACCTTTGCTCGCTATGACTGCCTGTGCCTAATGAAAGGCTTCACAATCTAATTGTCTTATCAATACATGTTTAATCACAGGTTGGCTAGACAGCATATGTCTGATTCCTAATTAGTTTCTTTAAACGTGATGGCCACCATAATAACATTTCCACCTATTACCTCCTGTTTTGCTTCTAATAATTTCAAAAACCCCCCTTTTCTGACAGCTTGTAACTCTAATCTTATAAACTTCATATATCTTTACCAAGATAAGGTGACACCAGAAGATAATTTGTGCATCACCTTCAAGTGTGTAGCTTTTATAGAATCCCTACTGCATTGAAACAAGGCCCTTTGCCCCAACAAGTCCACACTGAACCTCAGGGCATCCCACCCAGACCCATACCCCTGCAACCCATCTAACCTATGCATCCCTGAACACTACATGCAATTTAGCATGGCCAATCCACCTAGCCTGCATATCTTTGGACTGTGGGAGAAAACGGGAAACCCATGCAGACACAGGGAGAATATGCAAGCTCCAGACAGACGGTCGCCCAAGGGTGGAATTGAACCCGGGTCCCTGGCGCTGTGAGGTAGCAATGCTAACCACTGAACCACCATGCCATGTAGTGTTACTTCCTTGTGATTAATATCATCCCAAATGATAAATCTGAGTTTTCTCAGAAGTCTATCAACATCCTTTAGCTATAAGCATCATTGGTAACTCTGCAATAACTATTGATGTCTCAAACATGAAAATGAAAACTCAAAATAAACCGAGAAACTAATATATATAGGTCTGCAACATACTTTTAAGTTACAAAATCGGACCATTGAAAAGTTTAGTGGTATCTCCAGGGAAAAGTGCCACATCTCAAAATATTTTCAAATTTGTTGGTCTAATTCTATGTTAATTTCCACCATAAAACCATAAATGCATGACTTTTGACCCTGGCCATACAGATCTTTTTCTTTACTTAAATTGTTTTACTACTAACCATAATTAAACAATGTTATTAATTCCTCACTTTCTTGATCAAGTCAAAATTATTGAAAAAAAAACCTTAATCCTAGATATTGATAAGGTAGTTTCTCATAATTTCCATGTATCACTCTGCACCCATATCTCCTTTTACACTTCAATCTTACTTCATACTGTATCTTTCCTCAGAAAGATAACAGCTCCTGACTCACTTACATTCATAATTTCAAAAACCTGGCTGTTCAGATTTTGCTCTTCAATGTGCCACAATGTTTACACATGTGCTAATTTGCTCAACCACATGTCTCTACCAACTTTCATGCCCTGGTAATCAATGACACACATCCTCCTTCTCACCCTCACTGTTACTCCTGGGACAGTCTTCATTCCTTAAGTCATAGGCCAGAGAGGAGTTTCTGAATTTATGGTATATTCATGTGCAATCAAATCTGGCTGGACTACTTAAAATGTTATCTGGTCCTGCTCTTGTCATTTCAGGATCATTTCAGGATGCAAAGATAACTGCAAACCACTTTCTTAAAAAACTCTCCCCTCATTCCACCAAGTTACATAAAGAGCCCATGGACTTGTTTATCAGTAAGAATAAAGCTATTGCATCAGCTACCTCTGGCACATTTCTCTCTTCCATTAACTGATCTGACCAAGCTTTTTATAATGTTCCTTTCTTCCCTAGCCTTAGATATTTCCTTAGCTGCTCTTGCCTTATGTCTCTCTAAACTTACTTTAGACATAATACTGATCTTTCCATGTTCCTGTTTCTACTAAATTACTGACCAACTAATTTCCACTTTTGGGCCCAATATAGCGCCCTGATATGGTGAACAGTTCTCTCTCATCAAGTCTCCTTACAATCTGCTATCATTACTGCTCATGTCAAAACAAAACAACATTTTATTCAACCTTTCATGCTAACTATTATATATCTATAGCCCTCTATTCCTGTTATGAGAGGTCCTTGAATGTGTTATCACCTCCCAAATCAGTTCCCATCTTTCTTAGAATTCAGGTTTGAATCCCTCCAATCAGATTTCTAACTTTGTAGTAGTGCCAAAGTCGTCCTTCCCAAATTCACAAATGAAATCCATGTGACAGTTCCCATCCTGTCCTTCTTGACCTGTCTGCAGCTTTTCACATGGTTGACTGAACCATTCTCCTCCATTGTTGTGTGGGACTACTTTCACATGGTTCCATTTTTATCTATCTCATCATAGCTAGTGTATTACTTACAATGACTGCTCAAATCATTACTTCTAGTATCCCCCAAAGATCTATCCCTGGCTCACTTTTTCTACAAACTGCCTGTCTGTGGCATCATCTGAAACCACATACTGTTCACATCAAAACTGACGACATTCAGCCCTAGCTCACCACAACTTTCTTGATTTTTTCACTGTAGCTAAATCACCAGACTGCTTATTATTCTTCCAGTTTTGAATGAGATGAAATTTCCACCAAGACTGAGGCTATTTTCATCCTCCAAACTGTTACCTAATTATCGAATCCTTCTCGTTCTCTCTGGCAATTGTCTGAGTTTAAATTAGATATTTGTAATCTTGGTGGCACATCTGATCAATCAATGAGCTCCCAACTTTCTCAAACCAATGCTAAGATTACCTATTCCTCAACATCATCTACCTTTGCTCCACCTCAATTCATCCACTGCTGAAATCCTCAGTCCTGGCTTTGTTAGCATTTAGACTTGACCACACCAATGAATTCCTGATTAGACTCTCATAGGTTTAAGGTCATCCAAAATGCTCATCCCAATATCTTAACTCATATAAAATCCAATTCACAGTACTCATGCCTGTGCTTGCTGACTTGCAATAGTACCTAGCCAAGCATCACAAAATTCTCAATCTTGTGTTCAAATCCCTCTGTATCCTCCCATTCCCTAGCTCTCTAATCGTCTTCAGCCCCACAACCTTCAGCAATATCTGTGCTCCTTTATTCAATCCTGAGTATTCCTGATTTTAATCGCTCCTCCATCAGTGATAATGTTTTCACTTGCTGAGGTCCCAACATTTAGAATATTCTCCCTACAACCTCAGCATCTTTAAATAAGTTTTCATTGAGATACTCCTTGAATTCTATCTTTTTAACCAAATCTTTTTAACTGACTACCTCCCTTTTATGTCTCAATATTATGCTTTATAATGTTTCTGTGAAATGTTTCAGGCCATTATTTTATTAACTTAGAGATCCTTTATAAATATAAGCAGTTGCAGTGGACTGGATCAATGATGGAGAAAACATTCATGCACAATATCCTTGTACACAATACGTGTTATCATTTACTATTACCTCCACACATCATACTCTGGCCATCACACTTAAAATATCACACTTTAGTTGAGCAAATAGAAAAAAAGAGAAGAAAATAAATTCTACTGTCCTTATTCATCTAGATAGTCTGGTTTGTCACCAAATATTAGTCCAGTGAACAATCAATAATCAATTACAATTGGACACATAATGTGTGAATTCAAGCAATTCTCATCCTGGCATAACAAGAGCAGAGAAATTTGATTCCAGCAGCAAGACAACATAAAATTATTCCCGACCACAATGAGCAATTGGAGATAGGATAGCCTAATATATATCTTTGATGAAACTCACATCTCTCAGGAAGCTTTAATATATCATAAGTTTAATAAAAGCAGCAATTATAATCTTTGCATAAATGCAATCATGTGGATAATAATTCTTACTGCAGCCTTAATGTTATCACCATTCCTTTAATTTGGCTCTTCCTGCACACTGTCCTTTATTTGTACACTCTTTCCAATGATTGGTGAAACTCCACCTATGTTTCCACCAATTACCTCAACAAGTGGCCCATACATCTCCATGGAATCCTTAAGTGTCAGTTTGCTTAGTTGGTAGCTCTTTTATTTACAGCAAAGACTTAAGCACAATGACAGCTCATGCAAGCAGTGGGAGGCACTATCTTTCATATGAATTGTTAGGCCAAGAAATAACTGTCACTCTGAATGAACACAAAAGAAAAAAAATCCTTGACAATACTTAGAGAAGCTTTTTGAAGAAGAGTAGGATGCCCTGGTCAGTATTTCTACTGTAAACAAACATGCACAGAACTAGAATCAACTGGTATCAGGGGCAAACTGTCTGCTGTTTGGATTCATATCTGGCACATACAAAGATGGTTGTAGTTGTTGGAGGTCAGTCATCTCAGCTCCAGGACATGTCTGCCTGAGCTGCTCAGGGTAGTGTCCTAGGGCCAAGCATCTTCAGTTGCTTCATCAATGACCTTCCCTCCAACATAAACTCAAAAGTAGCGAGGTGCAATCATCATTGAACAATATTCAGCACCAAATGCATATCCTCAGATACTGAAGCAATCCACGTTCAAATGCAACAGGATCTGGACAATATCCAGAGATAACAAAGTGTAGAGCTGGATGAACACAGTAGGCCAAGAAAATTTTTTGAAATGTTTTTCTGAAGAAGGGCCTAGGCCCAAAACGCCAGCCTTCCTGCTCCTCTGATGCTGCTTGGCCTGCTGTGTTCATCCAGCTCTACACCTTGTTATCTCAGATTCTCCAGCATCTGCAGTTCCTACTATCTCTGGACAATATCCAGGCTAGGGCTGACAAGTGGCAAATAGCATTCACAACGCACAAATGCTAGGTAATGACCATCTCCAATAAGAAACAATCTAACTATCACCACTTGACATTAAGTGGTACTACCTTCACTGAATCCACCATTATCAACTTCCCTGGGATTACCATGGGTCAATAGATCCACTGGGCGCACTACATAATCACAGCGGCTTTAAAAGCAGGTCAGAGGCTAGGAATACGGCAGCGAGTAATTCGACTCCTGACTCCCCAGAGCTTGTCCATCATCTACAAGGCACAATTCCAGAATGTGATGGAATGTTCCCTATTTGCCTGGATCGGTGCAGCTCCAAGAATACTCAAGACAAAGCAGCTCACTTGGGTGGCACCACAAGCATCCATTCCCTCCCTCCAGCACCGTCGCTCTGTTGCAGCACTGTGTCTGATCTACAAGATGCACTGCAGAAGTTCACCAAAAAGCCTTTGATAACACCCTCTGAACTCAAGACAATTTCCATCTGGAAGGGCAAGGGCAGCAGGTACATGGGAACACCACCCCCTGCAAGTCTCCCTCCAAGCCACTAACCATCCTGACTTGGAAATATATCGCTGTTCCTTTCACTGTCATTGGTGAAAATCCTGGAATTCCCTCCCTGAAGGCATTGTAGGTTTACCTGCAGCACATGCACTACAGCGGTTTAAGAAGGCAGCTCACACCACCTTCTTGAGGGCAACTAGGGACAGTAATAAATGCTGGCCTGGCTACCGATTCCCACGTCCCATGAATGAATAAAGAAGAGAGTTCTAGTGGTCACCATTACTGAGACTAGCTTAATATTCCAGACCTATTTATGGAGCTTAATTGCACACTAAATTTGAACTCAAGTCCTCAGAGTATTCGCCTTGTCCTTTGGATGGTTCACTCAGTGACTTTACATGACACCACAGTCTCCCCCATGCTCTCTGTTAAGAGTTATTTTTCACATCACCAAATAAAATCGTATGCCCAAGGCAGTCCACTGTCTACCTGACAAGAAGGTGTTAATAATGTATTGATAAGCCAAAGTCCAATTCCATCTATTTTATGGCTGCTGATGCTGTCAGAATCATTAATGGCTGTCTCCATATTATTCCCCTCAGGGAACGGGAAAGGCAAAAATAGTTTTATCACCCTTGATGTTCTTAACATACTTGGCCGTTTCATTGTCCAAGCACCTACTTCTACTCTCAAGAGCATTTCGAAGGGTAATGATAATACGGTAAGACAGTGATATAATTAATTTTAAAAGTTATTCAGTTCACATTTGAAATTACATCTGAACTATTCAGAGTCTGTATTTCATCTCTCATCATTTTTTGATACAAGTTGTGTTTGACTTACTAAGTACTTTCCATTTGATTTTCCTGAACAACGCATACCCTTTACTAACCCTATGCCAAATAGGTTCTTAGTTTTAGAAGTTTTTAACATCTCTGCCTCTCAGATTCTTCACAGCTCCTGTAAATTAGCATTTTATGATTATGGTTTCCAAATTTTGTGATTTGTAAACAATATGTATATTCAAATTTGGTATTGATCTGCATGAAAAAGATTTTGTTCAAGACAAATACAATGAATTGGATTATATTTAACTGAAGACAATGGGCTATGATTTCCTGAGGGAGTATGGCAATGATGCCAGTGCTTTCCTGTTTTTTTTACATTAAGAAGGAGCTCCACATTACTGGCAGGAGAATCTGATCATTGCTCTGACAGATATGCAGGAAATACCTTCGACCCACCTGTGTCCTCATTGTGCAGGATAGTCAGGGGAAGGTTAACCATGTTTCCTTTTACACAACAGTAGCTGCTGTATCCTGTGATTTAAATGTCCAGGAGTGCTGGCAACCACGTTGACAACTCCTGTGGAAGAGTAAGTATGCAAGGTCAGTGTGAGGTTAGGGTGGCAGGTGGGTAAGGTGCCTGGGCACAAGCTGGGATGGATGTCCAGTTAAGTGCTTGAGTGTTTAGGATATGTTGGGTTGGGTTATGTGATGTGGTGGTTAGATGAAGGTGGTGTTGTTTCTGACAAGGGAGAGGGTGGAAATGGACAAGGGCAGGAGATACATTGGAACATTTTGGGTCCTGGGGCAGAGGAGTGTCTTGGGTCTTGGGTGGGAAGAGACTGGGTGTTAGTCCCCAGGGGAGAATGATTATCAGGTCCTGAGTGGGAAGGGAGTGTCTTGGTTCTGCCAATGGGGGAAGGTACGTCACGTGCTGGGTAGTAGGCTGGGGGGTGTCAGCTCCTGGTGGCAAGGTGATAAGACGTGCAGCACGGGAGATGTAAAGATGGCAGGTCTAAGAGAGTAGGGAGTGGTATTGAGTCCTGGGGATAGGGGCATGTCACGTCTGGCAGCTGCAAGGAGAGGGTGTTGGCTAAGGATCTGAAGGGTGTAAGGAGTCAGGGGATGTGTAATTGGGAGCTAAAGGGTGAGATGGAGTTAGTTTAATAGTTACCCAGGAGCAGTCTAGATATTTAGCTGTTTGACATTTCACAGGTGACTATTGAAATAACTGCAGTGGAATTCCCCCATTTAATTGGCTATATTTGGAGGCGGCTGGGTACAAGTGAATGGCTCATAGGAATCCTTGACATTCCAGAAATTTCCCTTGGAGTTTGCTGCATAAAGATTGCTGCAGGGTCCCAACATGTAGCTCCCATCTACACTATGACTATCTGACCATTGGGAAATCTGGACTTACGTTCAATATGAGGGGAAGAGAGAGAAGCAAAGAAAAATGGCAGGGGAACTATAGGGAAATGAGTCGAAAAGATAAAAGCAAAGACAAGAAGATGATAAAAGGAAGAGAGGAGCTGAATATGAAAAATAGATAGAGAAAAGTGAAGTGATAGAAGAGGAATAAGGACATGGCAGGAAAGAATGGAGGATTTCTTAGATAATAGGTGATTTCTCATTGTGTTTGATGCTCTGTTGACCGGCAACAATTTTTCTACTTGGTTTTGAGTGGTAGGGAAATTATCAGTTGCCAAAGGAGGGCTTGAAAGAGTGGCTCTGTTAATAGTTGGGGTCAAATGTAGTTGAACTCACCTCTGGGAGATGGATTATACGGATGCATGAGGGAAGTTACAATGCTGCTCAGTGCAGAGGTGTCAAGCTACTTGACGTACTGAAATGTTGCACAATGGTGTTTGCATTAAATATTAGCAAATGTTTAAATGGGGAACACCAATGATCAGTAGTGGCGAGAGACAATGAAGATTATATTTGGTTTTGACTTCCAGTACGCACTTGGACAGAAGATAACAACAATAAAAAAAAATTCCCCTCTATTTCCTCTATTATAAATTCCTATAACATTTGTTTAAAAGTAACTTCAATCACAATTGTACCTTGCTTCTAATGGATGTGCTGCAGCACCACAGGGAAAGGACATAATATCAAGATGATTAATTCATATCAGCAGTTAACATTATCACTGTATATACAGGAATCTAATAGTAATCTAAACAAAGAGGTAGAAAACATGGCACTAAAAGGGAACCTGCATTGCATCAACATAGCGAGTCCAATTCTCTGCTCCCATCTCTTCTACTTCATCTAAAGATTGCTCAGTTTTGATTTGCCATATGTAATGACAAGGACCATGAAGTAACTGATGGAATGCATTGTGGTACAATTATGATTATCTAACTTAGTATTTTTCATTTTAATGTGATGCATCGACCGTTAAAGTTTGTTGAATATATGCCATTAAATTGTGTTAAATTCTGAATCCTAAAGATTAGGAAATACATTTTATTCTTTTAACATCTCCCTTCTCCAGTTTTCTTTCACTTGTTAACTATGTTAAATGACTTGACTGCCTATATGACCATCATAAAGAAGTCACACTTCTGACTTGTTTCCTTATGCTTATGACCTGTTCACTTGACATTGTGTTTGAACTCAAAGCAGTGGAAGAAATATGAAAATGTTTAAACAGCTCCCAAGAGTCACTGATTAGGAGCCAATCACTGTGAACTTTTGACTTCCAGCCAGGAAATGAAGCAAATCAATGTTTGGTCATTTTGTCTTATCATGGAAAATATTTTTCACATTACAACACAGCTGTAACCCCATTTTGTTTGCACATGTTGCAGTATCAATTTTGCCTCAAATATTTCAAATGTGACTGTTTGCAGGTATGTCAGCTCTTCAAGTCTTCCTCTGACCTTTTGGATAAGCTGTTTGATCTCACACCTGTGCAAGCTCGCATATTTTTAAATGGACTGGATAATTGCACTGATGTTGACACCACAAATGAAACAGTAATCGTGGAGTAAGGATATCAACTATTTTTCAATTTACAGCTTTTTAGCAAAAACTTAACAATGTGTAATACACCTGGGTATTTATATGGATACAGATTGCACATTTTTAAAAATCACATTGTTTTTCCTTGACTCCTGTTTTCAAATGCACATTGTAATTATCGTTCCCTCGGAAGTACGTCAACACCATGTTTTCTCCATGGCATTGTTCTTAAGGATTTTCCTTATTCTCAAGTATGAAATGGTTGTTATTTTTACATGATGGCAGTGTCCTATGCAATGCAAACATTTCAGTAAAGATTACAAATTGACAAGATATCAGTGTTTTGGTAAAAACCATAAGAACTGTAGATGCTGTAAATGAGGAACAAAAACAGAAATTGCTGGAAAAGCTGAGCAGATCTGGCAGCATCTGCGAAGAGAAAATCAGAGTTAACATTTCAGGTCCAGTGACCCTTCCTCAGAACTGATTATAGCTCATAAAATGTCGGTTTACATGCAGAAAATAGGGTGGGGGGAAGGGGTCAGAAGTAAACGATAGATTGGGCTAGAGCCAAAAGCGAGAGAAGAACAGTTGGACAGACAAAGGAGTGGATAACAATCTGGCTAGGAGGGTGAACAGCTGTTAATAGAGACTGTTAGTGACTAACAATAGACAGTGTGCAGTGGCGGACCACATGATAACAAGGCCTGGTGTGTGGTGTAGTGGGCTAGGACACAGTAGAGTTCAGGTCCTAAAATTATTGAACTCGATATTGAGTCTGGTGGGCTGCAGGGTCCCCAAGCGGAAGATGAGGGGTTGTCCTTCCAGCTTGCAATGAGCTTCAATGGAACACTGTAGCAAGCCTGAGACAGAGATGTTAGCCAGGGAACAGGGTGGTGCGTTAAAGTGGCAGAAAACAGGTAGCTCAGGGTCTTTTTTGCAGGCAGAACATACATATTCTGCAAAGTGGTCACCCAGTCTACGCTTCGTTTCCCCAAAGTAGAGGAGACCACATTGTGAGCAGTGAATGCAGTAGACTAGATTGGGGGAAGTGCAGGTAATGTGCTGCTTCATCTGGAAGGTATATTTGGGTCCTTGGATACTAAGGAGGGAGGAGGTAAATGTGGGCGGATGTTACACATTCTGCAGTTGCAGGGGAAGGTGCCGTGGTGCTGTGGGGAGTATTGGGAGTGAAGGAAAAGTGAACCGGGGTGTTCCAGAGGGAATGGTCCCTGCAAAGGCAGACAAGAGAGGGGAGGACAATATGTGTCTGGTGGTGGTATCTCACTGGAGGTGGCAGAAATGACGTCTGATGATCTTCTGGATGTGGATGCTGGTGGGATGGTAGGTAAGGGCAAAGGGAATCCTATCACTGTTGTGGGAGGAAAGAGGGGTGTGAAGGCAGAAGTGCGGGAGATGGGTCGGCTGTGGTTGAGGGCCCTGTTGACAACGATGCTGGGGAATCCTCGGTTGAGGAAGAAGGTGGACGTTTCAGAGGCTCCCTTGTTGAAGTTGACCTCATCAGAACATATGCGATGGAGACCAAGGAACTGGGAGAATGGAATGGATTCTTTCCAGGCATTTTTGGTGTTCTGTTTATTTAGTTCCTTCACGTGCTGGTTAATTGCTGAGAAGATTCACAGAATCAGAAGTCACATGACACCAAGTTATAGTCTAACAGGTTTATTTGAAATCACAAGCTTTCAGACCGCTGCTCCTTCGTTGGGCCACTTCACCTGATGAAGCAGCAGCTACTTGAAAGCTTGTGATTTCAAATAAACCTGTTGGACTATAACCTGTTGTCGTGTGATTTCTGACTTTGTCCACTTCAGTCCAACATCTGCACCTCCACCTCAAAGATTCAGAGAAGGCAGTAGAGTTTTTTAAGAACAGAACAGAAGTTCATTACACGATAGAAGAAATGAGGACCAAAAAAACAAGCTATCAAAATACCAAAGACAATGAGCGCGATCTAAAACACACAGCCAAGCAAAGTTTCAATTGTTACCCAAAAATATCCATTATAGAAACTCAAGTCTACAACAAAGTACACCCCATGGCTCAACTCTTCAGTGTTATCATGAACTGATAGCTTTTTAGCCAAGAACCACGGTAGAAATTCAATGAGTTCTTTTTACCTCTGCTGACATTAACTTCTCCACAAATCTGAGGACCTAAACGTTCTCAGTTTTAATAGCATGCACGTTTCTAACCAAATTCTCCTTAGTGGAAGTTTCACAAACTAAACTGTTCCACTGTTGTTATTTATTCCTTTTAGTGCCCTGATTCTTTAACACTTGGAGAGAAACTAAATTCACTCCAGCATTCAATGCTGATGTTTTTAAAACTAAACTGCAAATTTGATTGTGAATTGAATTTAAAAATAAATATTTTCATCTTCAATTCTTCTTCACTGAAAGGCTTTACATATGCATTCCACTTGTTGTAAACTCAAACAGTATACATATTTGATTTGCAGTCTCCTGTTTCCGACAAATACTGGATTAGGTCACTGTTTTTGAAGAATCGGCTGACCTTGATTTCTTTCCAAAAGAAAACTCTTCACAAAAATAACCAACACCCTTGTGTCACTGTTTGAAATCCAAACTCCAAAAACAATATAAGACCATGAGACCATAAGATGTAGAATCAAAAGTAGGCTATTTGCCCAATTGAGTCTACTACACAATTTAATAAGATCATGGTTCATCTGATAATTCTCAACTCCATTTTCCTACCTTATGCCCAGAACCTTGACTCCCTTGGTGTTTAGAAATCTGTCTATCTATCTATCTCTTGAATATACTTAATGATTCAGCTTCAAGAACCCTCTGGAGTAAAGGATTCCACACATTGACTATCCTCTGAGGTAAAAAAAAAGGATTCCTCCACACTGCTGTCTTAATTTTCTGTTCCCTTTCAAATAAAGGCAAACTTTTCATTTGGCTTCTCTATTACTCGATGAACTTGGATGCTAGCTTTTTGTGAATCATGCATGAGGACATCCAGGTCCTTCTGTGCTACAACTCTCTGCAGTCTTTCCTCATTCAAATAACAATCAACTCTTCCGTTCTTCCTGCCAATATGCAAAAACTCACATTAAATTCCATTTGCCAGGTTTATGCCCACTTACAAAATCTGTTTGTAACCCTCCATAGACTCCTTGTGTTATCTGCACTACATGTCCTCCTACCTTTCCAAGTTACTAACGTGCATTGCAAATAATTGTGGCCACCAGCACTGATCCATGAGTCATGCCATGATTTACATTACATAATATTATATCTATTTCAACATATAGATATTGTAATTCGTACACATTTCATCACAAACGTCACGCATCCATTGTAAATTAATTCGGATTTGCATGTCAGAGTTGCTATGTGTACAGTGAGAGTTGTATCATAATCACATGATGTGCCTTCCATAACACATTTTTGTATCAAATGCCAGCCACCAGTCTCAGTGGAAATGCACTGGGATTTGGCTTCTGCAATAATTCATGTTTGCCTGGCCAGATTAGGATATCTTCCTGCCATTAAACTTTAAAGAACTCTGTGCAGTTGCATTTAGAGAGTAAGTGCAATCTGTGTCAGGTAGAATATGGTAGAGCAATTTCAAACAGGAAACTATACCATGCAAATTTGACAAATATTACATTCTTGTTCTTCTTAAGCCTGAAGCCTTTACCATCTGGAAGGAGAAGGACAGCAGATGCATAGGATATCACTGCAAGTTTCCTTCCAAGCCATGCTCCATTCTGACTTGGTACGACATTGCCGTTCCTTCAGAACTGAGTCAGAAGTCACAGGACACCAGGTTCAACGGGTTTATTTGAAATTGCAAACTTTTTCTTCACCTGACGAAGGAGCAGTGCTTCGAAAGTTTGCGATTTCAAATAAACCTGTTAGACTATAACCTGGTGTCATGTGACTTCTGACTTTATCCACCCCAATCCAACACCGGCACCTCCACATCATGGGCTGCAGAACTGAAGAAGGGTTATTGGATTTGAAACATTAACTTGTGTCGTTCTCGACAGATGCTGCCAGACCTGCTGAGTTTCTCCTGTAACTTCTGTTTTTGATTCAGATTTCCGGCGTTCCAGCTTTGTTTCCTTTTAGTGAAGTGAGGGAAAACTTTTTCACACAGCAGGTAGTTAGGAAATGGAATTGGCTGCCCGTGGTGGAGGCAGGTACAATTGAGGTATTCACGAGAAAGATGAAATTAAAATGCAGAGAAAGCAAGAGATTGGCACTAGGTAATGATGCTTATTCAGTACAAAATGGGCTGAATGGCTTCCTTTTATGCCGTAACGCTTCTATGGTTCTGTGAAAATCCAAATCATCTTGAGACTAATTCTGATTATTCTTTTTTGCCCCTTATCTGTAGGCTTGGTCAGTTGGCATGTTTTTACCCAACCAAACAACTGAAATCACTTCGTATGAATGCAATAAAGGCTTTGCAGGACAAGCTGCACAACTGCACCAGGAATATAAAGAAGGTTAGTATAGGAAGTGCCTCATGACCAGTGGTATATTACTTCAACGATTTGTTCAGACTGGCTGTGTTCATCTTCTATGTACGTCATTCTTCTTTTGAAAGCCAATGCCATTTAAAATTACTGCCAGCAGAACTCAAGGCATATATTCTACTCAATTATTTAACACTGTCATGTTTCTGCAGATCTACCAAGCACTATTGGAGGTTACTGGTGTCAACATTTTAAGTGCTGAAAATCTAAAAGACCTGGGAGATGCTGCGATTGGGCTGAAAATCAGTCAATTGTCCAACATCACGAAAGAGGTTGTTGTGGGTGCTGTTGAAGTATTGAAGGATGTCAGAGGCTGGTCCAAAGGCCAAGCTAAGGTCTTTGTCAAAAAGTACATGGAGGCTGAAAACGTAAGTAGCAATTATTAAATTCATGCTCAAATGGAAAGTTCTGAAATCATGTTTGGAAGAGTGTCTATGTTACTAAAAAAGAAATTTTGAGACTTTGGATAATAATCTTATTTCAAGAGTTCAAATCTCATCACAGCAAATGGGAAATCTAAAATTCAATTGTTAATAAAGCATGAAATAAAAAGCTAGAAGTGACCATGAAGTAACCAAATTGTTATAAAACTTCATATAGTTCATGATTATCCATTAGGGAAGGAGATCTGCTGTCCTATCCCAATTTGATCTATCTGTGACTGCAGATCTCACAGCAATGTGGCTGACTCTGAACTGATCTCTGAAATGACCTATCAAGCCATTTAATTGTATTCAAGAATGTGGCTCACCTCAACTTTCTCAGGGATATAACTGGAGGTGGGCAATAAATGCGAACTTCGAGGGTGACGCTATATGAAAGGTCTGTAGCATTTCTAGAGGTGCCAATAAATGCCTTTTAGCATATGTAAAAGATCTTATGCCGCTCACAAAAGAAGGGCAGAAGTGTTAACTCAGTGTCCCGTCAATAACCGTGCTCCCAACAACTGCACAACAAAACATATTATTTGGTTATTATCACATTGCTGTGTACAAATTGGCTGCTGCATCTCTTAATAACAGTGACTAAACTTCAAAAAAAAACTCCACTGGCAGTAAAGTACCTTGGGATTTCCTGAGATCACGCAAGGTGCTGTATAATTGCAAGTCTTACTTCTTTCAGTTATCAAAAGCATTTGATAGTAACCAGGCCGTATATTTAACCGAAGAAATCACACAAGCTGTCTTTTTTTTTCAAAGTGAATTGGCCTCTCTTTGAAGCCTTTCAAACAGTCAAGCGAAACTCATAAGATTGGCATTGAGTCACAGAAAACAAAGGAATTGACATTTATGATATATTTCATGTCCTCAGGGTATCCCAAAGCATTTCATCTGTGCAGGTGGATAAAGTTCAGAAAGTGTGCTTTGATATTTGAACAGAACAAAACAGTTTACCAAATTATTCATGAGATGATACATGCATTTGCAATCATACCATATGAAGAAGTTAGGGACTTGATAGAAAGAAATGTCTGAAAAAAGAATTGCAGTTTTCTGAATCTGCAGAATGTGTTGCTCAGGTGTATTTATCCCAAACTCTAATTACTGAATATTTCAATCATTACAACCAAACATGTTCTAAATAAAAACCGAAAGAACTGAGGATGCTGTAAATCAGAAACGAAAATGGAAGTTGCTGGAAAAGCTCAGTGGGTCTGGCAGGATCTGTGAAGAGAAATTACAGTATTTCCAGCAACTTCTGTTTATGTTCTGTTCTAATATTTTAATTTGCACTGGCTCTAAGCTATATGTTTGAAACAATATTTACTGTGTTATTTCCTGTAGGTCACAGCCAACAAATTGAAAAAACTGGGTTATCTTTCATTTGGTTTTGGTGCCAAGACATTCAGCAAGTTCAAAGGCCAGGAACTCTTAACTGCTTTTACTGATGAGGAAGTGCTAGAGTCCGTGAATTTCATGTTGCCCGTACAGAAGAAATCTATCATGAAAGGGGCAAGTCCTTATTTTTGTCTTTTTTATTGAAACAATGCATTTTTTAGAGGAGTTTGATTCATGAGATCAGTGATTGTGATTGCTCAGACTGATCATCCAGGCTGCTGATATGGAGCATGAGTTAAACAAAAATAAAAGTTGTACTTGCCTGTCTTAATTAAAAACCTAAGGCAATTATTTTACACAAAGACATGTTCTCTCATCATCAGCTTGCTATGAAATTTGGAAAACATAATTCGTACAAATTGCAATTAGACAAGGAATCTTTCTCTCAACTTTTCAACCTCTCAATTTCCAAATTGAGCCTTCAGCACAGCAGAAACTGATTTGATTCATTTTGTCACTGTCAACTGATTTTTTTTTATATCTCCAAAAATAATCCCATTGCTGCTTTGATCATACTTTGATCAAAGTACATGCATTCTTCTGGCAGTGTTTGCTGAATCTTTAAATATTTATTTTATGGCAGAGGTAGATCAATTCTTCTTTACAATGGGGATGAAAGAATATTGGAGATACGCAGGAATGTAGAGTTGACGTTAAAATCAGATCAGTCATGATTTATTGACCAGACACAATGGGCTGAATGGCCTACTCTTGTTCCTTGTTTGTATGTTCATATGTTTGTAACTTTTCCTTAAAACATCAAATGTTCTCCGCCTCTGCTACTCCATGCAACTAATTTATTCTATTCTCCGGTATCTATCTGCGTAAACTTTTTCTGACATTCCCCCTCAATTTTAGTGAAAAACTGAAAGTTATTAACCTTCCTGACCAAGACGTAATAGTGAGTCAATTAAACCTCCAAGAAAACCAACTATCAGTTTGAAAGAGATAACAAGGTGTGGAGCTGGATGAACACAGCAGGCCAAGCAGCATTAGAGGAGCAGGAAAGCTGACTTTTCGGGTCTGGACACCTTCTTCAGAAAAAAAAATCAGTTTAAAAACCTTCACGGTGGCTCAGTGGTTAGCACTGCTGCCTCACAGCGCCAGGGACCCGCATTCAATTCCACCCTCGGGCGACTGTCTGTGTGGAGTTTGCACATTCTCCCCGTGTCTGCGTGGGTTTCCTCCGGGTGCTCCGGTTTCCTCCCACAGTCCAAAGGTGTGCAGGTTAGGCGGATTGGCCGTGCTAAATTGCCCATAGTGTTCAGGGATGTGTAGATTGGGTCGGTTATAGGGGGATGGGTCTGGGTGGGATGCTCTGAGGTTTGGTGTGGACTTGTTGGGCCGAAGGGCCTGTTTCCACACTGTAGGGATTCTATG